TTTACCACTTGGAATTCTCCAAATTCTTGTTCTCAAGTCTTTTTCCAGGAGGATGGGAGATACCATCTTTCCTCCTAACTAGTTTTTTCCTTTCATTTGTCTGGGAATGCAGCAAGAAAACACAGTCCATGGCGCCTTCATCATGCACATGGGAGACTTAAGAATACAACTAGACTCGTCTCAACAGCAAGGGTGAAAATGGAGAATTGGCTCCCATTCAACAGTCTCTCCAGAGTCACTTTTCCCTTAATTTAAGCTGCACCCAGACCAGTGTTTCTCAGTTTCCTTCCTCTACAAGCCTCTTATCCAAGTGAGACAGGACAAGAGAGTTCTGAGCTGCCTTAAATCCTAGAAGCTTTTCTGTCTACTTCCTTCCTATACTTTATCAATCACCTGTAAGGAATTTTCATATGATCCCGCCTGCTTGTGAGGAAATCCAGGAGCCAGGGACTAAAGGCTCTGAGTTAAACTAAAGGCTTTGGGGAAGATGGAGGGGAGAGCCAAGTTAATAAAAAAGAAATCAGCCTCTTCTCTGTGGGAGGAACCCCCCCCCCATCACCATCACCAGCCTCTTCAGCAACTGAAACCCGTGGGAAGAGGGAAAGCGCTGGGAAAGGGAGTGTCGGGGAGACCGGGGGAGGAAGAGTGTCCTTAGATCCCAGGGCTTTCATTATTCAGAAAAAGAAAATATAATGAAGGGTAAGTGGGGGCGGGAAAAGTTCTGAAAGCACAGGCCCAGCTCTAGGGGAGACGCCAGGCACCACCCTCCCACTCACTCCTGCAGGCGCTTCTGGCAGACGGAGGTGAGCCGGCCCGCTCACCCTCCAGCCTATTAGAGAGACGCCTCGCGTTCCCTGGCGACCTTTAACGCCCAGCCTCGGAGTAGCGGGAGGAGGCGGGGCGGCGAGAATGCGAGCGCCTTCGGCCAATCGCCGAGCTTCCTGGGGGGGGGCGGTGCCTCGAAAACCCGAGGCGGAGCTGTTTCCTTGGCAACGGTCCTGGCCCTCCCGGAGGGGGCGGGTGGAGATTAGGAGGAGCGGAGAGGGGAGGCGGCCTGGAGGAGGGGGGTAGGCGCTCGGGTGCGGGGAGTGGAGTTCGAGGGGGTGTCCCAGCCTGCTGGAGCCTGGTGAGCCCACGGGGGAGGGGCGGCCCGTCCAGTTCCCGAGGCCCGGCCGGAGCTGACCCCGAGGCCGGGGAGGGGAGAGGAGCCAGACGCCGCCCTCGCTGGCGCCGGGAAGCGTCGCTCCTTCTCTCTGACCTTGGTCTCGCTCGTCGCCTCGCCCTTGGCCGCAGGCGCTGCCGGACGCAGGCCCCGGGAGACCCACAGACCGGCCACTGAACAGCGGCGACCGAGGACATAGGCACACAACTTGCCCCAGCCTCTGCCGCCGTCTTCAGGGCGCCCCGTCTTCCCCCACCTCAAAGCCGGGGCCATCCCGCCCAGGGTTAATGCCAACGAGTTTCCACCTCCAGTCGCTCCTAGAGAGGCCGCGGCGCTAGCCAGCGGGGGAAACTGGCCGCGGACGGACACTTCCTGTGCGGGGGGAGGGGGTCGGACAGTCGCAGCCCAGCCCGGGGCTGGGGGGCCAGACGGCGGGGTCTCCGGCGGGAAGCGGTGTCCGGGGGCGGCAGGGCGAGTTGTGAAGCCCCTCATTTCCGAGGCCGCCACGCGTGGAGGTCGCCGAGGGCCCCAGGGCACGCCGAGACCTTGTGGGTGGGGGCGGGGCCGCGGGTAGGGGAGGGGCCCGGCGGGCCGGAGAGGCCCAGGGTCAAGACGTCCGGCCTCGGGGTCCGAGGCTGGGCAGCCGGGTTCCCTGCGCGGCGCTGAGCGGGCGGGCTGCAGGGCCCGGGTCTTAGGGCATTCAGGCCGGGTCGCAGGATCGTCCGCCATCACCGTCGCCGGCGCGCTGGGAGCCGGCGGGGATGGAACGGGAGGCGTCGCCGTGGGGCCTGGAGCCACGGGATGTGCAAAGCCCTGACGAAATGGGGAGCCCCGAAGGGTCCCCGAAAGGTGAGGGAGGAAGCGCCCCTCCGAGGAGCGTGCCTGGGATCGGGAGAGGGGCATGTGGTCGAGGGAGGGGAAGAACACCGGGGCCTGGACACCCGGGACTTGGAGGAGGCGGGGGCGGGGACCGGGTGGACTGGGTCCGCCGAGGGGAGGTGGGGATTTCAGCACCTGCCCAAGGGCCAGCGACCCTGCTTGAGGAGGAGGTCGAGGTTTGTGACTGTTAACGGTGGGACCAAATAACCTTCCGCGACCCACACAATCTGGCTTTTCTGTAATTCTCTGATCCTGCAGGCAACATGAGTGAGAATGAGGAAGAGGAAATTTCTCAGCAAGAAGGCACTGGGGACTATGAGGTTGAAGAGATACCCTTTGGGCTTGAACCCCAGAGTCCTGGGTTTGAGTCACAGAGCCCAGAGTTTGAACCACAAAGCCCCAGGTTTGAGCCCGAAAGCCCAGGTTTTGAGTCCCGAAGTCCTGGGTTTGTGCCCCCTAGCCCCGACTTTGCACCCAGAAGCCCTGAATCAGATTCTCAGAGCCCCGAGTTTGAACCTGGCAGTCATAGGTATGAGTCCCAAAGCCCTTGGTATGAACCTAAGAGCCCAGGATATGAGCCCCGCAGCCCTGGCTATGAGCCCAAGAGCCCCGGATATGAACCCCGGAGCCCTGGATGTGAATCTCAGAGCCCGGGGTATGTACCCCAGAACCCTGGATTGGAACCCCAGAATTCTGAGTTCAAAACCCAAAGCCCAGAATTTGAAGCTCAAGGTTCCAAATTCCAGGAGGGTGCAGAAATGCTGAATCCTGAGGAAAAGAATCCCTTGAACATCCCCTCGGGAGTCCACCCCTTGGACTCCTTCACCCAGGGGTTTGGGGAGCAGCCCACCGAGGGCCTGCCCCTAGGGCCACCTTTTGAGATGCCCACAGGGGCCCTGCTGTCTACACCCCAGTTTGAGATGCTGCAGAATCCCCTGGGCCTGACAGGGGCCCTTCGGGGTCCAGGCCGTCGGGGTGGCCGGGCCAGGGGTGGGCAGGGCCCTCGGCCCAACATCTGCGGCATCTGCGGGAAGAGCTTTGGGCGGGGCTCCACCCTGATCCAGCACCAGCGCATCCACACGGGTGAGAAACCCTATAAATGTGAGGTCTGTAGCAAGGCCTTCTCCCAAAGCTCTGACCTCATCAAACACCAGCGCACCCACACGGGCGAGCGGCCCTACAAGTGTCCCCGTTGTGGCAAGGCCTTCGCTGACAGCTCTTACCTGCTTCGCCACCAGCGCACTCACTCTGGTCAGAAGCCCTACAAGTGCCCACACTGTGGCAAGGCCTTTGGCGACAGCTCCTACCTCCTGAGGCACCAGCGCACCCACAGCCACGAGCGGCCCTACAGCTGCCCTGAGTGTGGCAAGTGCTACAGCCAGAACTCATCCCTGCGTAGTCACCAGAGGGTGCACACCGGGCAGAGGCCCTTCAGCTGTGGCATCTGTGGCAAGAGCTTCTCCCAGCGCTCGGCACTCATCCCCCATGCCCGCAGCCATGCCCGCGAGAAGCCCTTCAAGTGCCCTGAGTGCGGCAAGCGCTTTGGCCAGAGCTCTGTGCTGGCCATCCATGCCCGCACCCACCTGCCGGGCCGCACCTACAGCTGCCCCGACTGCGGCAAGACCTTCAATCGCTCGTCCACGCTGATTCAGCACCAGCGCTCCCACACCGGCGAGCGGCCCTACCGGTGCGCCGTGTGCGGCAAGGGCTTCTGCCGGTCTTCCACGCTGCTGCAGCATCACCGAGTCCACAGTGGGGAGCGGCCCTACAAGTGCGATGACTGTGGAAAGGCCTTCTCACAGAGCTCCGACCTCATCCGCCACCAGCGGACCCACGCGGCCGGCCGGCGCTGACCTGGGACCCTGCGAGTGTGCGTGTGTGCGTGTGTGTGTGTGTGGGGGGGGGGGGGGGGGTGGGGCGAGGAAGGGGTGGGCACAAGAGGAGACAGGGAGCTAGAGAAGCCTTTAGAGAGACTAGTGGAAAAGCTAGAGGTGAATGGAGGAGCTGAGGATTCTAGGAGGAGGGGGCCAGGTGGAGGAAGTTAGTGCCCTGGAGACTATGGGAAATGGGTTATGAGGGGTGGAGGGATGCCAAACAGGCAGCAGGAGGCTCTGGGAGGGATCCAGAAAGAGGTCAGCAGAGTGCTGGCGGGGCCGCAGCATACCCCCTGGTGGGTGCCTGGCTTGGCGAAGTGCTTGATGGGGGTGGGGGGAGGGAGGGGTCGGGTTACTTAATTAGAGTGGGGTAGCTTAGATTGGTAGCTACTGAGACCCTCCTTGAGTCAGGAAGGGGTGAGAGGGTAGGAGGGGGGTGAGTAGGGCCCAGGAAGGGAGACCTGGGCCTCTGAGTACAAACCCCAGCCTCCCTTGTCTTCCTCGGGCTTTGGAACCCCTGAATTTGAGTTCAATAAAAACCTTTATGTGGTAAAAGAGACTCATCCTCAAAATGTGTGTATTGGCTGTGCCTTGGGCAGTGGACTACACTAGGTCCTAACTACAAAACAAGCAGGCGGTGAGGCCATAAGGCCTTGTCTGGGAAGTACTTTTATAGTCAGTGATTCACTGGAATCTTATAATCTGCAGTTCAGGAGGCATGACTTGCCCACATGTGCCCAACCAAGTTCATGTCCCAGTGCCTCACCAACGGGGCTGGCCCACCGGTGGGAGGTGTGAGGGCCCTCACCTTTGTGGAGTTCCCAAAGCCAGGAGTAATGTCCTTGGGCCAGAAAAAAACGTGATTCTCACATCCAGGCACAGATCCCAGCCTGCCTCCCCTGGCTCCCAGCACCCAGCTGTGCGGCCCCTCCCCCACCCAGCTGGAACGGAGCCACCACTTTGTGCAGATGCTGACTTGGACCAGAACCACAGTGAGTGTGTGCAGGCCAGCCCACTTGCGGGGGCACGCACTGCATCAGGATGAAGACTGGACAAGTGCTGCAGCCTTTAAGGCCCTCCCACCAGGCTGGGCCTGTCTATTATAGCTTGCCTCCCTTTTAGGACCCCTGGAACTATTGGTGGGGCCACCCCACTGCCACCCCACCTTTACACTGCTTTCCACACTTGCACCTCAGTCCTTCTAATACTTGCCCCTGCTCAGGAAAGGATGGGCAGTTGGTGCCAATAGTGAGTCTGGGGGTTCTGGGCCTGTTGTGACCTCAGCTGCAGAACAGGTCATACACACCTTGACAACTCATCTGATTGCTGGCCACATCTTGAGATGAATGCCAACCAAGGGGCCGACCATGCGCCATTTCACAGATGGCAAATGGAGCTCAGAGCTGAGTGACCTGCTCAAAGTCACTCTGTGGCTAAGGGGCCGATGAGACCTCCAGACCAGGTGGCCACATAGGCAGGTAGGGTGTCGCGGGCCTCTGGATCCTGACATCACCCCAACCCCACTCCTACCCTCCGGGCCCTATAGCTTGTCAAGAGCAAAAACTTCTCTAAGCACATTTCAGTCCAGCTCCATGAGCTACAAGCTTGGAAGGGGCCTCACAGCATACAGCTCCATGTGGTTTGGTTGTGTTCAGTGGTTCTCAAAGTTTCAATTAGGTTGGGAAGCAGAATATTACTTTTCAAGTGCAATCTCCAAGTCTTTTAAAGACCCTTGTCAAACCTTATGCACATTTTTGTACAGACACCCCTACTACGAGTAATTTCAAATATTGAAATGCTGCATGGGCCTCCCTGGTGGTGCAAGGGGTTAAGCACAGCACTGTGAAGCTATCCTCAGTCTCTGCAGCGTGAGTTTGATCCCCGGCCGGCCTGGGAGCTACCCACATGGCACAGCAGACCTCTCCTGCCTCTCCCGCTTTTCCCCTCAGCAGTGTATTTCAGTAGAGCTGCCTGTTCCGTTCCCCACTCTCTCTGGTGAATCCTCTCACCACCACCACCCCACCACCCCCGACACCTCTGGCCTGTACCCCAGTGCTTATATGCATAAAATAAATTTTTTTTTTAAAAAAGGAAAATAAAATGCTGCAACTCCCACATTTCATATAGTTCATGTACATAACTCTATGTTGAATAAAACTGTATTTGACTACCTGACATGATATTTATTACATTTGCAGACATTTACTGAAATAGCCATTTCAATTATACAATTTAATTTTCTGATTTTGGAGTTTTTTTTCAGTTTTCAAACATGTTTGTAGACACTTGAGAGCCGGCAGGCGCTGGGCACAGAGCCCGTGGTGCCTAATGAAGCAGGCTGCATGCACAGAACCTCAGTGTATAAAAGCACATCAGCTGAGGGGATGGGGACTCAGCTGCTCAGCCCCCAAGCCCCTTTTATGACAGTTTCTGAGATGGGGCAGCCAAAGCCAGAAAGGGCACGAGTCTTCCCCAAGATCACGGCGGAACACCAGCTCACGTGACTGGGTCACTCAGTGACCCCTAGGCTTGAATTCGGGTTCACCAGCTCACATGACTCGGTCTAGCGCCGCTTTTACCGCACCAGCGCGCTCCTCTGAAGGGCCCTTCTAGCCCCCTCCTCGGATGCGCTTAAGTGTTTGCAAGAGGACTCGACAGTTTCCAGCTGTTACCTCACTGACTGCTCATTGCAGCTCATTATTCCCATTTTGCAGGTGAAGAAACAAGTCCCAGAGAGGACAAGTGCTAAGAGGATGATCGCAGACATTTACCTCACCCGGCAAGGTAGCAGCAGAACCTGAATTCAAACCCAGGGCTCGCTGAGCTTTGACTGTAATTTCTGTAGTTCTGTGACATTCCTGACAGGTGAGACACTTTTTCCCCCTCTTTGAGAAAACGGGCTCTGCTTCTTTCCTCCTGAGGTCCTCCTTACGAGCCAGCCCTAGGCTTCCCTGGGGGCTGGACAGGAGGATGAGGAGGTTAGAGAGACCACAGATTTGGAAAGACTGTTCTGGATCTTGAGTGCTAGGTTCGGGAATGTTCACGGAAGGTCATTGCTCTGCGCAGAAGGGAGCCACGGAAGGTCATTGCTCTGCGCTGGACCTTAGCTGGCCGGAGTTACTCAAGAGCCCGGTCCCGGTCACCACAAGAGGGCAGCAGTGGCGACCGACACCCCCCCCCCACCCCGCCCCCTCTGCCTTCCCTGGCCCACAAAGGGAGGGTGGCTATGAGAGCCCCTCCAATCACTACTTTTTAAAAAAGGAAGCGGGCAGGGAAGGTCTGGGGCACATCTTCATGAATTGTTAATGGCCCCTCACACTTTCTCACCCATTCTCTCCCTGCTTCTCTGAGGGGCATCATGGCAGCAACAACAACAACAAAAAAAAAAAGGGAGAGAGAGAGAGAGAGAGAGAGAGAGGAGAGCTGACCCTTTGGGCCCCTTCAGTGAGAGCAGTGAGAAGGAAACACTCACTTGGAATGTTGCCCCAGCGCAAAGACGTAACAAACTGGACAAAATTTCACATTTATCAGGTAAATATATGCAGACACTGTTCTTAGAACTGAGAACCCAGATAACAGACGTGGCGCCCACCCTGGAGCCCCGTGCCACGGCGGGGGTGCGCTGGAGTCGCGGTGGGGCTGTGGAGCCAGGGGGCCGGCCACTGGGAAAGGCAGAGCCTTGAAGGGCCAATGCCCGGGCCCAGCGGAGCCTTTTCCCACCTCTTCCCACAGACTCTGTCACTAACTCAGCGAGAGCGCGTCAAGTCCCGCCCGTGTGTCCGACTCTGCTATCACCAGGAAGCCAAGGTGAACAAGGCAGGTTATGGTCCCTCCCCTCATGGCGTTCACTGTCTAATGCTCAAGCAGATGCGAAGTAAATCACTCCACAAGGAACAAGCCCGACCAGTGCTAAGAGAGCAAGCTGCTCGCCCCCACCCCCCTTTTATGACAGTTTCTGAGATGGGGCAGCCAAAGCCAGAAAGGGCACGAGTCTTCCCCAGGATCACGCGGAACACCAGCTCACGTGACTTGGTTACTCATTGACCCCTAGGCTTGAATTCAGGTTCACCAGCTGCTCAGCCCCGACACGAGTGCAGGCTAGTGTGAGTGTGTCTATGAGGACTCCACGGAGTGTGTGCACTGAGGTAAGGCTGAGTGAGAGTGAGCCGGAAGGACGGGGAGGAATGTTCCAGGCAGAGGGAGCTGTCTGGGAGAAGCAGTGAAACCAAAAGAGCTTAGGCAGTGGAAAGGCTGGTGCCACTGGAGCTCAGGAGGGGAGACAGGGATAGCATCTTTGTGCTATTCTGCAGGTTCTGAAAGGCACGTGAGGGCCTTTGGCCGTTAGCCAAAGAGCAAGGGGCTTGCAACAGTAATGTGAAAAACAGAGATTGGATTTGCTATTGGCAAGCAGGATGGACTCCAGGCAGGAAAGAATGCAGGGCAAGGTTCTGGGACATCCACAGGCCTCTGAGGCCTCTGTGGACATCCATGGGCAGGTGTCTGTGAGGGACAGGGATGGCCCTAGGCCCTGAGACTACAGTTTCTCCAAATTCTCTTCCAGGGGAGGAAACTAAGAGGAGCTGGTGGAAGCCAGGACCATCTGATAAGCGCAAGGCCTCACCTCTGTAGGCTTCCTGGCCTGTCCCTCAGTGGAGTCTCACAAACAAGGCAGGGAGGAATGGGCTCCATGTTCAAGACAGGGAAACTGAGGCCTAGGGAGGGGCAGTGACTTGCCCAAGGACACACGATAAGATGCAGGCAGAGTGTAGTCCTGGGTCCTCTGTGTCAGGCCTGGTCTGAGTCTTTGCCATCTTTCTCCTGGGCCTTCTCCCTGAGGAGGGACTCCACCGCCTCCTCAGATGCCGGCTGTCCAGAGTCTCCTCCAGGGATTCCATTGGGGGCATCTAAATTAGCCTCCATCTTCTCTTTCAGATCCCGTTTGAAGAAGCCAACCTGTAGGAAGACACAGGTGGAGTGAGCCAAACTCCATGAAGAGCTTCCTGCCAGCCGACCCTGCAACACATGTTAATAAATCATCTGTGCCCCAGACACGGGATGTCCGCTCCAGGGCTGGGCGAGGGTACCTGCACACCTAGCCTTGGCCATATGTTAAAAAGTTGTCAGTGTAATAGCTCGCTCCTTGGGCTTATCAAAATATCATGTGCCGATATTTTAGGTGGGTGTTTCACAATATCTAATACAAAGAGGAAAAGCCCTCCCTTCCAGAGTGCTAAGTTAGGTGCCATGTGCTCTTGGGCTCAGCAAAAGGAATTTAAAGAATATTAGGACAAGCGGGCCAAGATAACAAGAAGTAACAAGAGCCTTTTTTGGTCACATTGTTTGATGTAAATCACCATCTACATGTTCATCAACAAGGATCTGAGTCAATAAAAGGTGGGCGCCAGACTGCAGGAAACCGCCCAGGTTAAAGAGCGAGAGGCCGATCCCTTCAGACAGAAAGACAGTAGCTGAGGCACCCAGGGACACACGTCCCCAAGCGGTGGAGAAGGTTCGTCTGCTCCCATTTTCTGCCTAGACACATGCGTGAGAGCTTTTCTTTCTCTCTCACACACTTAGATTAACAACAAAATGAGAATCTGCAGGAATATAAACAAAATGGTTGCTCATGACAACCCTCGTGAGGCTGAGGGAGGGAGAAACTTTCAACCTTGATTTTCTATGGTCTCTTTTCAGGAATATTTGAGTTTTCCACGCGGAACGCACGCGCCCCAGCATGGCTCATCTGACTGCTTCTCATTCTTCAAATGCCAGCTCCAACGCCACCTCTTAGAGGGGTCTTTCTGGACGCCCCCGGCCTCAGTTGGGTTCCTCTGTCAGAGGCTCCAGAGCACGCAGACCCCCAGTGGAGGGCCCTCAGGATGCTCCTGTCCTCCCCCTCCACCCCGCCAGTAACCCAGGGTTCCACAAAGGCCGGGGCCAGGCTCGGGGCTGTGCTGGGCCCGGGCGTCCATGCAGGGCAGTGCTTCTCCTTCCTCTCCCTGGGTGCCCTGGCCTGGCTCTGCCGGCGCTTGGTTAAAGGGAAAGTCCCACTTGCTCTTTGGGCCTCAGCAGCCTTGTCCAGAGGGAGTACACTGAGTTCCCTGCTGGCTTTGATGTTCCCTGGTCTTGGAACTCTCCCTGACCCCTTTCAACTCCCCTCCCCAGCCTGGCCCGTGACCCCCAGAAGCTCCCACCTTCTGGAGCCCCATGAAAATCAGCAGCAGCAGCAACAGCCCCCCGACGCCACTCAGCACATAGATATAGAGCATTGGCTTCTTAAACACGACTTCGACTTTTGTGATGACCTGGAGGGAAAGATGGGGCAGTGCAGGGAAGCAACCTTTCCCGCCCCTAACAGCCTCAAGCCCTAGGTCATCGGATTTCCCACCTGGACCTTATCATGCAGGCCCAGACCCTCTCTGGCCAGAACCCCTCCCACTGCCACCACCGAGTGAACTGGCAGACAGGCACACCGGCTGCCTGAAGCCTTAAATGGCCTCCTCTAGCCTCAGGATAAAATGCTAGAGTCTTGGCTCTATGCAAAGCTTTCCAGAGTCTAGCTTCAGTTTACATTGTTAGCTCCACCTTCCCTTTGCTCTATACATCTGCTGGCCCCTGGCCCCACACTGCTGCTTTCTCTGCTGAGAGGCCGTCCCTCCACGCCCCACCCTTCACTGAGTATCACCCACTGGTCTTCCCTGGCACTTCTCAGAGGGTGACCAGGGGTGGGCAGCTCACTCTGGCTCCCAAGGAAGCTTCGCCAAGGCTGATGGTTTTGGCTCTGGGCCAGTTTCACTCATGCTTAGCCCAGCCTCTCTGCAGCTCTGGCCCCCCTAGGTCTGCCCTGGGAATGGATCCTCAGGTCCCATGGCTGACCTCTGCTCCCGGGTCTCCTAAGGAGGCAGAGAGTTACCTGGGCCAGGGAGGCATTGCTGCCATAGAGGTGGAAATGCTTGCGGCTGTTGAAGGAGATGGAGAGGGAGCTGCAGAGGCTGAACATGGAGGCGGCCTGTGGGAGGGGCGGGGAGACGTCATGGCCGGGAGAACAGACAAGAGCATGGACCCACTGACTTCTGCCCCCACCTGGATTTGATTCATTGGGAAGCAGCAGAGAAGAATGAGCCCTAGTGGGGTTCAGAGGCCTGCTCAGGTCTCTCCTGGAGCAGCCTAAGGTGCCACTCCCCACTGGAGTCCTATAAAGAATATACAAGAAATATCCGTGGGCCCATGACAACTGCCCTGCAAATTTCAAACAAATCATGGTTCTCTTCCTCAGGATAAAAGAGAAAAATGCAGGAAGACTATTTGGTGGGCAAGTCCCCACCGTGGGTCCCCCACTTCATGTCTGGTGCTGGCAGGTGCTACCTCGATCTCCCCCACCAGCTCCACGGTCCCCATCACTTTCACGAGGAACTCCTGCTTAAAATCAACTGTGCAGAGGCGCTGAGCCACGGGCTGACAAGGCTGTTAGAGAAGAAGATGATAAGGGGTCAGAGAGGCCTGTATCCCCTTGCAATTTGCCAGCCTCCACCCCGATTTCTGAGCACCCATGCCCATACCTTAGTCTCACCAGGCAGAGTCCCCAGGTCCTTGTGATTGCAGATGACAGGCGGCTCCTGGGAACCACGAGGCAGGGACTCAGTTAGCCCGGGGCTCAGAGGGAATGATGTCCCCTTAAGAGAACCTGACATTCCTCTCTTGGCACCCCAATTCTTCCCCACTGTCCCCAGGGGATCCAGACATCACCAAGGTCCAAGAGGATTCCTCATCCTCACTCCCTTTACACACACCTGCACCCCTGTAGGAGCTCGTCCCCACAGCCCCAGTGTCCTTTCCTGCTCTGGACAACACTCACCAATTGCACATCCCATGTGTATTTGAGGGGTCCATTGACGTGATGCTGTGATACCCCAACCAAGGCCTCCAGGGCGGGCAAGTTGTGGTCCTGGTCAGAGGGCTGAATCCCTACCTAGTGGAGAAGACCAGGGGCTCAGAGGCCTGAATGAAGCCACCCTATGTGCCACCCCAGAACCCATGTGCACCCCGGTGTGCCTCTTCTGGTCCATGGCTGGGACCCGGGACCCACACTGAGGCAGTGGGCAGTGACCACTCATCCAGCCTCTGTCCACACAGTATGGCTTACGTGCGCTTTTCTGCTTTCTCCACATGGCAGAGCCTCACGCATCCTGCCAGCTCGTGCCTGGACAGCATCTCTGACTCCTAAGGACAGGGCCGCTTCCCCTCTGTGTCCCCACAGCAGGGTGGCAGTACCTGCTGTGTGTGCCCCCATGAGATCGGGAGCTTGTGGCACTCTTATTCCAACCCCCTTGTCCCAAGGCTGACTGAGGCCAGGACGGACAAGTTGGCCGGCGCTCACATCGAGCAGAGGTGGCTGGGCAGGGCCTGTGCGTGCTGAGTTCTTTCCCACTATTCTGGTGCTAAAGGACTGGCCTGGGAACCCAGAGTGGTCCCAATGAACAGCACTAGAAGCCCCACAAGCTGTCCCTCAAAACAGTCTCTGTCGATGCAAACGGGCACCTGACCTTCCTGAAGGCCATTGCCCTCATCACAGTCTAAGGTGAGCTGGTTCCCACCTCTGCTCTGAAGGGGGCTCAATGGCTTGGGGTTCCTTCACTGGTGGGCTCTTTTCCCCAGATGCCCAGCCCAGTGTGGCCTCGTGGGCCTCAGTTTCCTCCACAGTAAAATGAAAAGGTTTTTGACTGGATCAATGCTTACTCCTCGCAGAGGTCACCTCTGAGGAAGCTTTAGATGCTTCAAGCTTTAGACTTGGGGGCCCTCCCTCTCTAAGCCCCATCGCAAAGACGGCTGTTACAGCACTGCGCATGCTGCAGGAGAGATGGCAGACATTGACTTACAGGTTAGACGTGGATTTTGATATTCAAGTAAGTGCTTCCTCTTCCCCACTTTAGCTGTGCTACCTGGACCAGCTACTTGACATGTCTGTGCTCATCTGTAAGGTGGGAATGACAGTGCCTGTCTCGAGCAGCCCCTAGGCTGCTGTGAGAATTACGGGGGGCTGCATATAGTACACACCAGGCACAGAACTTGGGTGTAGTGAGTGGTCAGGGACCTTGTGTCACTTGTTGCTGCCCAGCACCTCGCAAAGCACCTCAGCTGGAATAGGTGCTCATGAAATCTGTGACTGAAAGACTAGGTTCCCTCGGGGCCCTCCTGGCTCTCGAGTTCTGCGAGTCTATATATCTCTTCTCCAGTGGCGGGACGCACTGGTGAGCACACCGACTGCGGCCTTTCCGTGGCCACTGAGGCGCTGTATGTGCCCTAAAGAAAGACCAAGAATGAGGCAGCAGGCTGGACTCGGCCTCTGCATCCGGGTGCCCCAGGATGGGGCTGAATGAACTTTGACCTTGAAGGACCTTTTCGTATTGAGAGTCATACCTGGTAGATGTGCTTGAAGTGTTGGCTCTTGGGACCGTCGCTGGTGAAGCTGATGTACTGTGTAGAGTCCTCCTGGCTGTGGAAAGAGGGAAGAGCAGAAGTCAAAGGTGAAGGCAGCAGGAGGGAGGAGGGGCGTGGGCCAGGGCAGCCTCAGGTTGCCAGTCATTGTGCCCAGGGCTGCAGGACACGATCAGTCTCATTCAATCTTATGACACCCCCTGAAACTGAGACTCTTCGAAGGGGTCTGCCTCTTGCCACAGGTTCCAAAGGGGAGGACCGGGATAGGAACCCTGGTGAGTGCACCTTTGGAGCGTGTTCTCCCCACTACACACCGCCTCCCCAGTGTCTCCCCTGTACCCTGGGCCCACTGCTCGTCTTTCAGATACGGCACCAGCTACTGGCTCCCTCTCCACACCACCCTCCTGATGACCTTCCTAAAGCACTTTCTGATCCCACCACTCGCGGACTCAGAATCCATCAGTGGCTCCCTGCTGCCCTCAGCACGGAGTCCAGGTCTAGACCTACCTGCTTCCCCACCTGCCTGCTCACTGCTCCCCTCCTCCATATACCGGCCCTCTCCCAGTTCACCAGATCTGTCCCACTGTTTTTTGCCTCCAGGCCTACATCTCTGCTCTCAGGTGAGAAAGACCTTCTGCCTTCCTGGCCCCTATCTGAATCCCCTTATCCTCTAGACCCAACCCAGTTCAGGTTCCTAGTTCTTCATGAGCACTCTGAGCCACAGCGTCCTTCCTGGCTTTGTTTTCATATCACATTCCAGATACCATCATTCTGTTTAGCATTTATGTTCAAACATACTGGAGGCCCCAGGGCATGCGCTTTCTCTGTCCTTATCTCACTGAGCCAACTTGAAAAAGGTACTCCACTTTCCCTGCTTAATCTCCTTTTCTGTAAATAAGAAAATCTAACCCCCAGCTGGGGAGCAGACCCACATGGCGCAGCAGACCTCTCCTGGCTTGCCCGCTGCTCCCCTCAACAGTGGATTTCAGTCAATCTGCCTGTTCTGCTCCCCACTCTGTCTTTGGTGGATCCTCTCATTGCCCCCCACCCCCGCAGCTCTTGTATGCATAAATAAATAAATCTTAAAAAAAAAAAAAAAAGAAAAGAAAATCTAACCAGCAATCTGCATGGGTCCTTCCTGCCACAACATCCTGAGACTCACTAGTTCTGTGGGTTCAAGACTTTTGTCTCTCGCTTCTGACCAAGAGCTCTCTGTAGGAGAGAGCCACTATGAAGCCTTTCCTCCTGTGCTGTGCAGCACTGTGGCCCCAGGCAGCAGGGACTCCAGCCTAGCTGAAAACCATGGAGAGCGAGCCTGGTGTTCTGGAGTCAGACTTCAGTTCAGACCTGACCTCAGTGTGGCCAAGCAGTGGGGGAGGGCCTTGCACAGGGAGGCAGAGTGGCATCAGCCTTCAATGTGCATTTCTTCCGTCAGAAAATGCTGACCTGACACAGAGCTCTTGAAGGACTGTCACTCTTTTGAACATTAAAAACTGTAGGGCCCTAGGTGGGGAAGTGGAAGGGAGAAGGAGGGGGTTGAGGCTGCCCAGAACTCACTCCTCCGTGACGATGTTGAGGGGGTACATGACCCGGATGCTGGTGCTGGCTGAGTTGTCCTTCAGGAGGCCGGAGTCCTCATTTTCACTGCATGGGGGAAGGCAGTGTAAGGAGAGGGTGTTGCCAGGACCGAGAGGGGTCAGGGATGCTGGCGGAGGGAGAGGAGATATGAGGGAGGGTTGCCCAGGGCCTGCTCACCAGCTCACGTTGGCGTGCAGCTCAGCGAAGTCCCCCCAGGAGCTGTTCAGCAGTGTATAAAACATCACCTGGATATTAACCTGGTGGGGAAGAGAGGGGAATGAAGAGGAAGGGGCCTGGGCCTCCAGAGGGCCTCAGCACCCAGGCCCAATTGCAGCTCCCAGCCCAATTGCCATAGCAGTGACCACCATGAATGCTCTGGGCCTGGGGCTGGGTGTTACATCCTCACTGTCCAGGTGAAGAGACTGAGGTTCCAAGTGGCTAAGTCATGTGTGTAAGGTCGCAAAATGAGTAAGCCATCTCCAGGTGGCTGATTCTAAAGTCCAGGCCCTCAAACAGGACACAAAACTGCTTGTACACACTCCTGGGTCAAGAAGTCGGGCAAGCCCTTCTTGGCCAATCGCGGGCACCCTTCCTGGAGCCAGCAGCTACCTTCCCACCTGAGCTCAGGGCCTGGCATTGGCTCCTGCCCCTGCAACTGGTTCCTAGGGACTTGCACTCACCGAGAGGCCTGCTTTAAAGATGGGGGAGCTCACGTTGCAAGAGAGGGTCTTGGTGGGGAGCTCAGACTTGCCAAGAAGCTCCTCACAACTCACAGGTATCTGGCTGTGGGGCTGGGGGTGAGAAGAGAGAGCATGAGAGAAAAGAGAGCTAAGCGTTCCAGGGGCCCCCAAGCCTCAGCACCCACCTCCCAGCCAGGGCGCCGTCTCGGAGAAGTGGGGCCAAGGAATCAGGAGCACAGCCAGGGATTCAGTACAAAATGTTCATTGTAGCGCTGTTAACAGTGGAGAACTAGACGGGATGGAGCAGTTCAGAGATAGTACCTCCAGTTAATGGGGGTACAGTCACAGGAGAGGGTATGGTGAGACTAACATGTTGCTATGCCATCCACCCCTTCAGCAAGGATCCTGACAATGTGCTTGACCCCGGCTAACCAGTCACACCATCCCTTCAGCTTCATGACCATCTGTGAAGCACCGGTTTCTGCCTCACACTGGGAAGGGACTTCACTAACAGAGGCTCGGAGATCTTCAGTGGCTCCCCAGGTCTCACAGCTGTAAAAGCAGGATCCTGGGTGGACTTGGACACAGTTCAAGTTTAGTGGGGCATTACTGCTTAGATGGCCGGGGCTTCTGTTTGGGATGATGGAAAATGTTCTGCGCACAGACAGTGGTGTTGCTGCCCAACACTGCCAATGTACTTAATGGCCACTGAATTACACGCTTAAAAATAGTTAAAATACTGAACAGAGGGTCAGGAAAAGATAAAACTTGCAAGCTGACCACACGTCTGAGGCATCCACAGGGGAGAGGGGAGAAGTGGGTTCAGACAGGGTAGGCAAGAGCACAAGGCACGGGGGGATGGGTCACAGGGGCGGTGGTGGTGGGAGAACTGCAGGGACCACACCTGAGGAGAGAAACCCAATGCTGTCCAAAAGCGAACAACCATGTAAGAAAATAAATTCAATAGTTAAAATAGTTAATTTGATACTATGTAAAATTGAATTTTTTTCCTGAACATGGGGGAAAAATAACCACCTGGAAAGCCTGTGTGTGTGTGTGCACGTGTGTGTGTAATATTATATATAAATATACACAATGTAATTTGTAGGTGTGCACATAAACAGAAAGATAAATGCCAAAATATTAAAAGTAGTAAAAAGATATTAAAAGTAGTAATATTTTAATATTAAAAACCCACTAACCCTGTGGGTTTCTGTTTTTTGATTGTGGAATCTGAGGCCCAAAGAGAGTGTACTTTGTTCTTCAGGTCCCACAGTTTGCAGGTGACCATCCAGTTGAGACCCAGATGTGGCCCTAAGACCTCTGCAGGCCAACTGCTCCAGTTTCTGTCTGTCCCCGACTGCCTGAGACACCCCAGGGGAGCAGATGCCCCAGGGGCCTGTGTGCACAGGTCTGCCTTCCCGCTTACCTTGAGCAGCTCCACTTTTCGAAAGGAGAGTCCCTGGGGGAAGCTCATGCCCAGTTGGACCCAGTAAGCGTCTTCTCCCAAGTTACTCAGCGTCAGCCCCACGGAGAGGCTGGCAGAGGGGGTCAGGCGTAGGACTTTGGAGCTGTTGGGGGGAGATCAAGGAAAAGTGACGGGGACCAAGGCAAAGGAAGCAGGAGCAGAGGTGGGCACTCAGAAGGGAGGGCTCAAGCAGGCCAGAAAACTAATACTCGAAACATACTCCTCCGTACAGGCCTGAGGTCGTGAGACCTCATCTAACCCAGGCAGGAGCTGCAGGGACTTGCTCTTCTCAGAGGAGGAAACCAAGGCCCAGATGACACATTTAGCAAGCAGATGAGGTTCTTCTGACTTGAAGCACCCCTCCCCCTTGTTCTCTCCAGCACACAGGAGCTGCCTCAGGAAACACCCAGGGGAGCAGGAGGGCAGGGAGGGGGTTGGCAGGCTCACAGACCTTTCAGGGGAGGACAGCGCCAGGTTTGCCTCACATTTCTTGTCCTCTCCACAGTTCTTCTCAAATGGGATCTAAAAGGCCAAGAACAAAGAACAAGTATGTTCAGGCCCCTAAGGCCCCCAGACCCAGGAGGGGCCCAATGTTGGCCTTTTTCTGGCCCTCTTACCTCCTTGGTCTCCAAGTGTGCTGAGGGTCTCAGGATGGGCTGCATGTCCATACCCTGCTAGGTGTGGAGGGGGAGGGCAGGGGACAAGAGGTTAACAGGCAGCAGAACTCACGGAGGGGCTGAGAGCTGGGGTTCCAGCTGGGCTACTGTGGTCTGTCCCTCCCAATGTCCCACACCTTCCCAGGGCAGACCCCACCCTTCCCACTCAGCCCAAGGCCATCCTCTGGGAGCAGCTCCTAGAGGGAGGCTAAGGCCCAGGGGGTCCAGTCCCTCCCTGCCCTCCACTGGCAAGGAGGTCTTGCTGTGAAGCTTTGGGGCTCACCTGCCTATGACTAGCTCTTACAGTGCTTCTCTCCTGCAAGTCCCACCGACCCTAGAACAGCTCTCCATCTCTTATTGATAGCAGTTCAAGGCCAGCTTCTTCAACATTCCCAGAGCTTCTGCTCTAGGCCAGGCCCCATGCTGGGCACTGAGTATTCACCAGAGAACAAAACAAGACACTCTGCCTGCCCTCTCAATCTGGCAGGAGGAACCACGCAGGGTTTTCAAATCTTATGCTGGCACAGGTAGCAGGATCTTTACAGCACACAGAGGGCAACCCGACCCACACCTGGGGTCGAGGAAGCTTCCTGAGGAATGGCGCTCAACTGAAATCTAAAGGAGCCAGGTGAAGCGAATGGGGAGGGAGGAAGAGCAGCCAGTCTAACAGAGGCCCAGGGTGAGAGCCAGGAGCTGTGCAAGATGCAGGAAGATACTCCGATTGGCTGGAGTGCCAGTGTGAGTGGATGCAGGAGAGAGAAACAGGGTCCCGACTGCCTTGGGCCTTGCTAGAGAGGTCATGTTTGGAGCTGTGACTTTATCCTGAGGTTAATGGGTCACAGAAGTATTTTATGGTTTATCAGCTGTAGGTTCCATAAAGATTCCAGTCTCCTCCATGACCAGGCCACTTGCCAAACAGTCTCCAGATTCTTCTTTGAGGGACAGGCTGCGGCCCTGGTGGCCTCTGTTGACTGCCCACCACCCACCCTCAACGTTCACAGATTTCCACCACCCAGTGGACCACAGCTAGTGCCCAAATGGGCATCCAGGGCCTGCAGGGAGCTAAGTTCTCCTCCCCATTGCCCTTGAACTCCCCACCTACCAACCAATGTCTCTAATTCTGCAAGCTACAGATCTAAGTGACACTCCCTCAGGAGGCCTTTTTTGAACAACTGAGACCTCAAATCTCTTTTTTTAACCTGAGTTCATAAACCACAGTTTGGCATTTAAATAGTGCTGATGCAGAGACAGCTGCTTGTTCCAGAAGGCCCTCCTCACCTTCTGCCTTTAAAATAGAGCCTCCACTTTTGATCTTGTCACATGGCCCACATGGACCAGAGATGCGTTTCTCGGTGTGGCATGTGACCAGGTTCTGACCAATGAGGTGTAAGTGGAGCTGTGATGTGACTTCTAGAAACTGATCTTAAAGGGAAGAGGTGTGCTCTCCTTCCACCCTCGCTCCCACTTTGTGCTCCCATCACCCACACCTGCAGGCCTCGTTCTGCCTGTGCTCACACTCTGCGTCCTTCCTCAGTGCCCCCCTCCCCTTCTCCACCAGGGAACTGAAAGGGTCACCTCCGTGAGGAGGCTTTCCTCATGCCCCAAAGCTGTGGCATAATATTGTTGCTGTCTTATAACTAGGGCTGTATTTTCTTGACCTGGAGGAGCCAGTGCCCAGATGGGGCTTAGCACAGACGGGCACTCAGTCAGCTTTAAGTGGCAAGGTACGCCTGCTGGGCAGGGGCTTTGCTCTCGGGCAAGCACACCCTGTTACCTTCACATCTCCGGGAGCGGACTCATTACCTGCTGTCTAAAACCACAAGAAAGCACACACCTCGCAGTCACTGTGCTCCAGCTTTGGAAGCCCCACTCACTTTAGAGATGGGGGACAGTCCCAGAGGGAGACAGAGCCTGCGTATGCTTGGGCCCCGATAAACACCCACATCTTCAGACTCCTGGATGCAGGTTCTTCCCACCAGGCCCTACTGCCCTCTGACAAGCCAAAGCACCAGCTGAGTATCAAGGATTTCAGAAAAGGAAGCCAGGTTCTGGGGAGAATGGTGAGGAGTCTGTGGCCTAGTAGGCCTGGGATCAGTTTCCCCATAACATAACAGTGGCTAAATTTGGCTTTGAGGGAACTACCTGCCTCAAGTGAATACACTTGGGCAAGAGAGCTAATCAGCGTGCTCTGTCCTTCTACTGATAAGGGGCCATCCTGAAGTTCTCTCCCTGGAACCTGCATCTTGAGAGAGTGGGAGCATGAGGAGGCCTTACAGAGGCACAGCGGTCACTGGAGGGCCATCTATCATTTCTTCCTCTCCAGAGCTACCAGATCTTCCACCCTTGTTCCCCTTCTTCCCACTTTGTTTCTCCAAATCTCCCTTAAATATAATCGCTCATAAATTCCTTTCCTGTGTAAGTAAGCCATATTTGATTTCTACTGCTTAAAACCAAGAACACTATGTAATACTGTTTTGCTAAATTGAATTTCAACTCTTTATTGCCTGTCAGTCCCCCCAACAGGTCTTCTTACCGTCCATTGTTCCCTCGATGTCCCTTCTTCCTCCTGGAGAGAGAAATTTAGGGAGACGCTGATGGGAGAGATGAGGTCCTGAATGCACACCTGAGGAGGAAGAAAACAAACGACCAGATTTCCAGTTAAATGCATGCTTTGTCCACGTTTTACAAGTGATGACGTTCCAGTAGCTAGTTACCAGTAGTGGAAATACACTTACTACATGTCATATGTTTATAAATAAAAGTCTGCAGTAGCTTCTCAGCGTGTCATTCTTCTGCCCCAATTCCATGGCAGACATCACTAATCAACCCCAGCACTTTTCCCAGTGAGTCCTAACAGAAGCCTCTAGGCAGCCATTATCAAAGTTTGTATAAGAAAAGACTATTCTAGGGCCTGTGGTGCAGCGGTTGAGCGTTGGGCTGCGAAGCTGCCCGCAGCACTGGTTTGATCCCCAGCTGCTGGGTAAGGGTCCCACATAGCGTGCAGACCTCTCCTGCCGCGCCCGCTTCTCCCCTCAGCAGTGTATTTCATCACTCTGTCTGTTCTGTTCCCCACTCTGGCTCTGGTGAATTCTCTCTCTCTCCCGCGCTTCTGACTGTACCCAGTGCTTGTATAAATAAATAAATAAACAAACAAACAAACAAACAAATAAATAAATAAATCTTTAAAAAAAAAAAAAAGACTCAACTTATGAAGCTGTCTGCAGCCTCTGCAGCACGAGTTCAAGTTCAAACCCCGGCCGGTCAGGGAGCAACCCACATAGTGCAGCAGACCTCTCCTGGCTCTCCCGCTACTCCCCTCAGCCATGTACTTTGGTCAATCTGCCTATTCTGTTCCCTACTCTGGCCTGAACCCCAGCTCTTGCATGCATAATAAATAAATCTTTAAAAAAAAAAAGGTGACACAATTTTCCTGAGGACGAGAACTAGGGGTGAACCCAAACCTGTTCAATTCCCAAGTCTAAAGTTTTTCCAGCATGTCACATGCCTCTTCTCTGGCAAATTTACATTTAAAATTTCCAAATCTTGTAACAGGGCTTGGGGCTATGGTAGGAAGAGGCAGCAGGGTATGGAGTTGAGGTATGAGTGGAATAAGATTGCGAGCTGGGGGCCTCCCTGGTGGTGCAAGGGGTTAAGTCTCAGCACAATGAAGCTATCTGCAGCACGAGTTCAAACCCCAACCTCTCCTGTCTCGCCCACTGCTCCCCTCAGCAGTGTATTTCAGTCAATCTGCCTGTTTTGCTCCCCACTCTGTCTCTGGTGAATCCTCTCACCCCCCACACCTCTGGCCTATACCCGGGTTCTTGGATGCATAAATAAAATAAATCTTAAAAAAAAATTGTGAGGGGGGGCCCTCCCTGGTTAATTGTTAATTGTGAGGGGCCTCAAGGGGTTAATTAAGCACAGCACTATGAAGCAATCTGCAGCCTCTGCAGCATGAGTTCGATCCCCGCCGGCCAGGGAGCTACCCACATGGTGCAGCAGACCCCTCCTGTCTCACCCGCTGCTCCCCTCAGCAGTGTATTTCAGTACATCTGCCTGTTCTGCTCCCCACTCTGTCTCTGGGGAATCTTCTCACCCACTGCATCTCTAGCCTGCACCCCAGCTCAGTATGCATAAATAAATAAATCTTTAAAAAAAAAAAAAAAACCCAAAGCAATCCCTTGGACTCTGACAGCAGAACTGAGGTTGCCAGAGGGAGTGGGGTCTGGGAACAGGAAAGGAAAGGAAGGGTCCAATGGACTGTGATGGAGGGTCATTGGTAGTTTGGTGGTGGGCATGGCATGACAACATACATCAGAAGAGGTGTGAATCTGTACCCCTAAAACATAAACAGTGTTGTAAACCAACATTGCCTCAATAAAAAAATGAATCAATGCAGGAGTACTACTACTGGACAGTAGAAGAAAAATGCAGTGCTGAGACACCGGAGGCTGGAGAGTGACAGCTGAGTCTTGCACTGTGGTCAGCTCATCCCCCTTCGCTTCCCAAAGCAGCTTGCCGGCTCCCTCACCGGGAAGTGGAGCCTGAAGTTTTCGCAGGACAATTGTGGGGTGATCACTGAGTCCCTGCTGAGCTCATGTCTTCCATTTGAGAATAAGCCCCGGCTTCGGGTCCGATGGCCATCCAGCTGCAGAGTGTAGTGGAGGTTGGTAGTCAGGGGCCCTGGGTGGGGTGAAAAAAAGGCAGGAGTTGAGTGGTGGCCGATCTGGGGGCGTTAAGTGTGGATGTGGGGCAGGCAGCTGCTCTGCGGAGCAGGAAGACAGTGCTGACCTTGGAAATGGGGGATGAGAGACTTGACCTGGAAACAGACTGAGATGGTAACTCCTTCCTTCTCTTTCTCCTCATCACTGGTTGAATGGGAGCACTCCACTTCGTGCACTGGGATCTCGGCCGGGGAGGAGGATATCTGTGTGATGACGTCCACCACAGGCCGCGAGCTGCAGGGCAGAAAACCACCTATTCTCTCCCTGGGCCTCCTCTGGGAAGCCCAGTCAGACTGGGGTCCCATCTACAAACCGAGAGGCTCTCCTTCCCTAAAACAGACCTGAGCGTCACTGTTTCCTTCCACGATAATAATAGTGACAACTCACTAGGGCTCCTGCTTCTGGCTAGCAGCCTTCTGACCCATTTTCCATGCAAAGAGTGAGCTTTTTATATATATATATATAAAGAGGCGCGTATTTTATTTATTTATTTATTTGTTTTTGTGTTTATACATGCACTGGTACAGTCAGAAGCGCGGGAGGGTGAGAGAATTCACCAGAGCCAGAGCAGGGAGCAGAGCAGGCAGAAGGACCAAAGTACACTGCTGAGGGGAGCAGCGGGCGGCCGGAGAGATCTACGCGCCATGTGGGACCCTCCTCGGTGGTGGCCGGAGCAGCTGGGGATCGAACCGGCGCCGCAGAGGCCGCAGGGAGCTTCACAACCCAGCGCTCAACCGCTGCGCCACTGGGGAGGCCCAAGAGTGAGCTTTTGAAAAGAGAAGTCTTGGACCTCCCTGTTGGTGCAAGGGGTTAGGCACAGCACTGTGAAGTTAGCCGCAGTAGCCGCAGCCACTGCAGCACGAGTTCCATCCCTGGCCAGCCAGGGAGCTATCCACATGGTACAGCAGACCTTTCCTGCCTTGCCTACTGCTCCCCTCAGCAGCGTATTTCAGTCAATCTGCCTGTTCTGTTCCCCACTCTGTCTCTGGTGAATCCTTTTAGCCCCCCGCACCTCTGGTCTGTACCCCAGTTCTTGTATGCATAAATGAATAAACCTAAAAAAAAAAAAAGAGAGTCCTACTGAGCCACTTCCATGCTTACCACCCTTCCATGATGCCACACGATGTTTCCAATAAAATTCACACTTCAACTATCCATGCCAAGACTGCCTGCCTCGCCAGGCTTATCCCCTGCCACACCTTCCCTTGGTGGACCAGATTCCAGGCACATCAAATTTGCACCTGCCTGACGGCCATGGCACAACCTTGGCTTTCGACACTGAGAGTTCTTACCCCAGATTGCTACAAGTCTCTCTCATTCTCGCCTTTCAGGTCGAAGCTCAAATATCACTGCCTTAAGTAGCACCCAGGCCCCACACAGTCTATAGCACCTTTTCTGCTACAATCTCCACAGTACCCTGCTCATTTCCCTCATAACACTTCGCACAATTTATAAAGATCAATTTGCCTAATTCTTTATTAAGTTTTTGTACCTCTGTGCCCAGTGCCTGACTCAGTATTTAAGACATAACAGGTACCTATCCAATCTATGTTATTCTATAACGCTTCTGATAACTCTGATGAGGGTAAGTAGGGAAGCATTATCACCACTTCTAAGATGCAGAGGCTGAAGTCCTGAGAGCTCAGTGACCCAAAAAATACATGGCAGTAACTCAGGTCCTCTGACTTGAATTCAGGTGACCAGGTTCTAAGTCATCACCTAATGTTACTCCGCAGTTTTGATGTCAGGAGGGCCTGGGTTTGAATCCTGATCTGTCCTGATCTGTCACTAGCAGCTGTTTAACCTGCAGTAAGATGGAAACACTGTCTAAAGAGAGCCCACCTCACAGAGTTGGGGTGGCGACCTGATGAGCTAATACCTCTAATCGTTTAGCACAATGCCCGGCACATAGTAACTGTTCAGAGGAGAGCTCTGTCTTACCTTAGCACGATAACCTGGCCCTCAGCCCCAATAGCCACTTCTGCCAGGCCATCCCCTCCAAGGTCCTTCACCCCGTGGATGGAGCGTCCAAACCATTGAATTCCTGGGAACACCTGGGTCGCTTTTATCCGCTGAGACCAAGAGAGAAATTATGCTGAGCTAGGGAGAAGACAGGCTGCCAGACAGGACAAGTCAGGATGGGTGGGGGGTAGGAGGTAGGAGGTCTGGGCTTGGAGGCTTCCAGGTGCCTGGAGTGGGTTTGATTGACAGGCAGGGGACCTCACCTGGCTCGGCCGGGGTTTCAGACCCACTTGCTGCCCGTTGAAGATGTACACAGCCCCCTGCTCCTCCAGCGGGGCTCCCACAGCCACGTCCACCAGCCCGTCTCCATTGATGTCGCTCAGGGCAGTGATGGCCGCTCCCAAATCGCCCCAGGGGGTAGCCAGGATCCCCCTGCAGTTCTGAGACCTCTTCAAACTCCAGCTAGGAAGAGGCAAGGTGACAGGTGCCACCTCATCACTCAGCAAGCTTTCACCAGCTGCAGCCTTGTGCACAGTGAAGGACACTAAAGGCATGGTGGGTGTGACCCCGCACAGAATTGGGACAGCATCATTAGGCTAACCCGGGTTCAAGTCCCAGTTCCATCTCTTGCTACCTGTATATCAAGAAAGTTCTGGAAAGTTCCCTAGTCAATGGAGGTGCAGTGTTGCCATTTGTAAAATAAAACTGGCAATTTCTCAGAAGGTGATGGTGAGTGGGGCCTCCCCTGGTGGTGCAGTGATTGAGCGCTGGGCTGCGAAGCTGCTGCAGCCTCTGCTGCGCCAGTTCCATCCCCGCCACGGGCGAGGGTCCCACATGGCCCGACAGACCTCTCCTGCCGCCTGCTGCTCCCCTCAGCAGTATATTTCGTCACTCTGCCTGCTCTGCTCTCCCCCTCTGGCTCTGGTGAATTCTCTCACCCTCCTGTGCTTCTTCTGACTGTACCCAGTGCTTGTATAAATAAATAAATTAAAAAAAAAAAAAGAAGGTGATGGTGAGGATGAAAAAGGCTTGGCAGTGGGCCTTGCATGAAGTCTACCCCCTGAGCATTAGCTATTGTTCATCTGTTGTTCTGAAGGTCAGATTAACACATGATCAGACAGGGAGAGCCTTTCAGAATAATGGGGCCCTGAGTGAGCTGTGAATCTATTTCTCTTACTCCCTCAGCTCAGTGTCCTGGTCCCCACCTTTTTCTCTGGTACATAAACACCCGGCCTCCTCCTCTCTGGCCTCCATAGAACAGGGGGGCTGCAATCAACAGTAGCTCTGTCTCTCCATCTTGGTCCATGTCAATGGCACACAGCTCACCACCAAAATAAGAGCCAATCTGTAGGGAAAGGAAGATGTCAGCGGGAGAGCCTGTGACTAGGAATCCCCCTCCCCCTCAACCATACCACATCCACCTATTCCAGTCCCTTAAATGAGGGTTCAAGCCCCAGATCCCCTTAGAGTCCATCTAAGTTAAGAGAAGTTAGGCTTGGGCTTCCCGGGTGGCCTCAGGGTTAAATCTCAGTGCTATCACCACTACTGCCTGAGTTTAATCCCCAGCCAGGGAGCTACCCACATGGTGCAGACCTCTCCTGCCTCGCCCACTGCTCCCCTCAGCAGTGTATTTCAGTACATCTTTGCCTGTTCTGCTCCCTACTCTGTCTCTGGTGAATCCTCTCACCCTCTGCACCTCTGGCCTGCACCCCAGTTCTAAGCCAAAAAAAAAAAAAAAAAAGAGAGAGAGAGAGAGAAGTTGGGCTCTCTGAAGTTCACTTTCTTACACTGGCAGGTGGAGATGCTACACTGGTGTGGCAGAGGGCTTGGTGAGTTACTAAGGCAACAGTGGTTGGCACGGGGCCTCCTGTGCAGTAGTGGATGCGTGTTCAGAAGGCAATGGGAGCACAGCATTTTACACCAGCCCTCATCTGCAGACACCCCTGGGTCCTGCTCACCTGGACCCCATCTAGTTTCTGGATTTGGCTCCAGTTTCCTTTGCTCTCAGTCTTTTGGAACAGCAGCACCCGCCCCACATGCTGGTATCGGGGGGCTCCAGCTGCCAGCAGTGATGTGAATTTTCGAGAGGGCAGCCAGGCGACCGTGTAACCTGAGGGAAGAGACAGCAAGGGACCTGGAGTCAGAAAAACAAACTGCTGGAAGAAGGTCAAATGCAGGAGGAAAGTCAGCAGAAGCCCCAGAACACCAGCTTAGTAGCAAAAATGCACTGAAATGTCTAGGAGACCTTCTTCTAAGCAGCAGCCGCGTGCTAGGAGCGGCACAAGTGCTGCTATCTTGGTTCAAGGGTGCATTTCTCTAAAGGTGGACAACATACACCACCCAGAAAAAGCAGCCATGAGCCACAGGGAAGCATGGTGCATCTTCCTGAGGCTGAGTTTACCTGAGGGGTGAGAAGAGAGGCTATACTTATTTAATTCATAAAATAAAATGGGAATCTGTTAAAGAAGAATGTGACATCTACATGAATATTAAAGATAATGTAGGAGACTTGAAAAAACGTCATT